TGCGCCACATGTGCCTTTGCACGTTTCACACTTATATTTACTCATTATGATTGAAATTAGTAACCAGCACTTTAATCGGCCCCAAACGTAGAAAACAGAATTAATTAACTGTAATTTCTTAAATATTTAAGACTACTCTAAACTAACTAATCTAGGTTAGTCTTCCATATATATAATACGAATAATATAATACGAATACGCTCCCTGTCTTGGCGCTATTATACTTACCTTTTGTTATTTGTTGAGCTAATAGGCTCACAGAGTTTGACTTACCATACATTTTAGATTTACTTGATAATACCTTTTTTTTCTACTTATTTGGATAACCTCAATTAATCTCAGAACCTTGTACATAGAACCCTGACGAAGATAAATATATTTGAATAATTTTTAAATACAGCCGTTTCCTTTAACTGCTGCATATCCGGTAATTAGTATGCAGTGTAACTAATTGTCTAGCCTAACTAATTCATTTACCTGGCGCCCTATCCCGAAGTAACTCCTTGTTCCTTGAACCACCCCCATCTCCCCTGTTCAAGCTGGTCGAAGGCAAATTTTACACCGGAATTGGTTAGTATTTTTCTTTATTGTAGTATTTGGTTCTAAATTATATTTTCGGTGTAACAAAATATTGGGTTAGCAAAGTATTGAGTTAACATATTTTCTTAGATTTCCCTTGAAACTGCTACGCCACTGTGATTTTGACACACATTACGCCACTGCAGTGTTAAAAGGTCACACCGGGTTCTGTGCATATATCTATTACTCCTAGGAGTGATATATATATGGTTCTGTGCACCTGCATCCCAGTCATTTATTTTCGACAATCATGAGGAATAATTTGGCAATGTGCCAACATAACAGAAGGTATACAAGAGTTTAAATACAGTTTTAATAAAAAAAATTAAATATTTATTACATTTATTTTTTTATATTATACTTATTACATTTTATATTTAATTTTTAATTAGAGTTTTATTATTTTGTTTGTCAATATAATATTGGGATTGATAAAAAATAATATTGTAATGTATCGATTTATTTTTTTATATTAGTATTGCATCGAAAATAAATTTTATTATCGGTATCATATTGATCGATATCAATATGACAATGTTTTATTTTCCAAGATCACAAGTTATTAACAATTATTTAAAATTTTGTATATTGTTTCAGAGGTAATTAAAATTTGCGTCTAGAGTAAAAGTTGCAGTTTGCAGATCACCTTCTGAATTGTTTATTTAATAAAAAATTATTAAAGAAAAAATGTCTCCAGAATACTTGGACAATTTAAGAATAAAATAGCCAATTTGTTGTTTAACCTTATATTGGAGTTAAATCCTAGGTCAAATACCAGTTAAAATAATTGACCATCTATATTGGCCGTAATTGTCCAATTTTTGACCAAAAATGTTTAAGTCTTAAAGTATTTGTTAGATACAGTGAATAAAAACGCTAAGATTGTTAGTTAAAATTATTTCATTTTCATATACAAGTGTCTTACAACAAGGAATCGAAATATGGAAAAATATAAAAAAATATCTTTAATCGAGGATTATTCTTTAATGGGTTATCATTGACTAAGGAATCCCCTCACTTCCTCAACGGTTTTATTTTTACTGACAATTTCGTATTTTTTAAATAACCCTAGAGGCTAAACCAATCAACGTTTGACTCAAAGAATTAGGCTACATTCGTAATGAATTTGCTAGCCGAGTGGCACTAGCTAAGCAAATGTATTAACAGAATTTCATTGTGAACGATCACCGTTTAAAATAAAATTGGACGTTTAATTGGGCAAAATTGCGCATTGCTTTTGTTTTTCAATTATTTCTATGATTTTCAATGGCGTTGAGTTTTGTGTTTGTTATGTTTTTATTGTGATTAAATACATTTTTCTTCCTTTTTATAATAAACTAAAATGATTTATTACAAACGAAATGAATGAAGATGACATTACACTGGTTTGTAGTTTGAAACACATTGTAATACAAATTTATCACTAAATGAACTATTTGATTAAGTGTTGTACATTTTTTCATTAAAAATAGCACTAAACAAAAACATGACAGTTAACAACGCACATGAGTTAAATTCTACTCTAATGTTATTGTGAAAGGTAAATTTCTTGCAGACTAGCGTGCCCAAGTGTCAGTCGGCCAGCGATTTGATTACAAATGTGGCTTTATGTACCTACTGTTTTTACATTTTCGGAAAGTAACCGAAAGCATTTACATTTCTCCTTAATTGTTTTAATTTATTTTTTTATTTATAAGGGTTATTCTCTAAACTAAAACGTTATTGTTGTAAGTTAAAATAATAAGAATGGCTGCATAAAAAATTTAAATGACGTGATTTTGTAAAACGGTGAACACGTTTTTTTTAACCTCTATTTTCAATATCTGTTAAAATTTTTCATGGGAGGGAAATCGTGATGAATCGTGTAATAGGCCATTTATATTTTCCAATCGGCCAATTATCGAAGGAGGGTCCGGAGTCTAGGAACAAGAACATCATACTTAGAAAGTATCAATATCTACAACATTATTTATAGTCGACAGGATATTGAATATCTATGTATTATTATTATCATCTTATATTTTTTAAATTTATTATTAACAATAAGGTTTTTGATTTTAAATAGCTAAGATTCTACGTTGTTAAATCTAATAAATTATGTACTTTCACAATATATTTATACTTAAACTAATATAAAATCACTGCTACTGATCCAATTAAATAAAAAAATTGTACAGAATCAACATTCTTAATATAATAAACTTGTTAATATTTCATAATGTTATAAAATATGTTATAAGTAGTTTTTAAGTTTAATTATTTAAACCTCTATAAAATCGCCGCCACTGAGCCAATTTAATTAAAAATTTTACAGGATTAAGATTAATACCAAAAAAATATGGTGTTAAAATTTCAAAATGATGTATTTATTAGTAAAGCAATTATAATTTGCTTATGCAAAGGGGAACCAACCGCCAAGACCCAATCTTATATTTTGGAAAAGATGAACATAATTATTTTATTTTTTATGGTTTCCTATTAAGGTATAGTACAAGCAAGATGTATACTATATATATATATATATTAGGGTGTCCCTTATTTTTTATTTTTTTACGCATACCCTCTAATTATATTTATTACGTGTTTATATACTCCCAGTAAAAATTTCAGCTCATTCTATAAACGGGAACCCGTGCCGACTTGCATCTGAACCCTCCATTAGCCAACGTTAGGCGCGCGGTATTTTGTAACACGGTTGGCCGCTAGGTCTTCGATCGTAAGTCATTTTGTGTTTGTTATTATGTGACCCTTATATTATAAATTATTAAAAAATGTTAAAATATAGTTTTATTTATGTGTATACTTTAATAAAAATGAATATTTTTACAGGAAGTCACTTCCTGGAAGTGGCTAGTTACCCGGAAGTGTCGGGTGAATAGGCCGTAAAACTAATTACCCGAAACTCTTTTTTTTATTATATCTGAATGACAGCTAAAAAATAACCAAAAAAAAATTAGTTGATTTTATCCCTTAAATATATTAATATACTAATTAGTATTGCTAAAATATACTGTTATATGAAATTTCAGCTTTTTATAAGCATTTCTTTTCTTGATGTCCTCCCAAAAATATTTCAGACAGTTTTCGGTAGTCATCTCTCACAATAGACTCTTTTAGTTATTTAGAGTAAATCCCATTAAGTTTATCAATTTCAGAGTTTACGGCATATTCACTAGACCCTTAAGGGTAACTAGCCACTCCCTGTGAAAATATACATTTTTATCAAAGTATACACATAAATAAAACTATATTTTAACATTTGTCAATAATTTATAATATAAGGGTCACATAATAACAAACACAAAATGACTTACGATCGAAGACCTCGCGGCCAACCGTGTTACAAAATACCGCGCGCCTAACGTTGGCTCACGGAGGGTTCAGATGCAAGTCGGCACGGGTTCCCGTTTATAGAATGAGCTGAAATTTTTACTAGGAGTATATAAACACGTAATAAATATAATTAGAGGGTATGCGTAAAAAAATAAAAAATAAGGGACACCCTAATATATATATATATATATATATATATAGTGTAACTTGGTAAACAATTAAAAATAAAAAAGATTTTTAAAATGAATCACAATAGATCACTGTGGAATTTCTTTTTTATTTTTAAATGATTTTTAAAATACACTTTTATTTAATAAAAAAAAAATTCATACATTTCATATGATTATGAGTCAGTTTTTTTAAATTCTGCTTACTCTAATAAAAATATCAGTTTAAATTCTATTACACATATCAAAAAGAAACAAATTTTAATAGTTAACAGAAAAATAAAAAAACTGGATCTAATGGATACAATTAAATTTACGTAGGCAAATTTATTCGAGCATAGTTGTACAAATTTCAAATAGGACGGAAGAATATTGTTTTTTTTTTCGAGGAGACAGGTACTTGTCGATGAAAAAAAGAACAACTTATTTATAATTGAAGCGTGGTAATTCAAAAGCGTCCAAGTGCCGCTGCCGTGCAAAGCACAAATGTATTGAACAATATTAAGTAATGCATTAGTTACCACCTTTTTGCTTAGCACTGCAGTGGCACTTAGACGCTTTTTAATTACCACGCTTCAATTATAATTGATAATTATAATATTATTTTATTTTTGGCTTTGATAATAAGATGTGTAAAAAATATAACAAAATATATTTTGCTGAGCATTAAAGGGACTACATCTTAATGCTCAAAAATTAACTTTAAATAAATTTTTTAAATATTTTACATTTAATTATGTTATTATATAATATTATTATATAACAATATTTATTTAGCTGTAAACATAACTAAATGTAAAATAAAATGTATATTAGGTATATACAGGTTGTTCAAAAATAATGGGGTGAATCCAGAAGGCGAAATTCCTTTTTTCCAATTATTTTTAATACAATTTTAATAATAATAATACTTTATTGCCCAACAGATTTACATCCAATTAAAGGACAAAATTATACAATATACAATAGGTTTATATGTACATAAAATAAAACAACATTTACACATTAATGATATTTTTGTAAAATAAATCAGCTTCTTTTATCATACATTCTAAATAAAAAAGTTAATTTTAGAGCATTAAAATGTTTTCACATCTTTTTTGCTTTTCAATTACATATTTTTATAGACTTCAATGCTCAGCAAAATATATTTTGTCATATTTTTTTTCACATCTTTTTAAATATATAACAAGAAGCTATTTAAGTATTTAATTTTTTTGAAACTGTGGGACACTTATTTCTTTGTATTGCAATTTAAAAACAATGGTATTACCTACTAATAAATAGAAGCACTAACAAACATATTCAAGAACCGCCAATACAATGTTTATTTATAAATACTTAAAAAATAAAAGATAAAATTACTTTTCCAGTAGATCCAGTTCATGGTATTTTCTGATGTATTGGTATTTCTGGTATACATAGTCTTTTTCATTTGTTATCCATGTTAAACTCATATAAAGAGTTAATATTGCTGATAAAAGTAAACGATCCAAACTAAAAAAAATATTATTAGAACTTTAAGCACAACAATCTGTTAAATTAGTTAAGTGTTAAGTGCAGTTTGCACCGATACTCAACCAAAACAGCACAAGGATGTCGGACGCCTATGGGTTGCCGACCGACTGCCTGATGTCCTAATGTCAAAGAATTGGACCAAAATCAGACGAAGAACGCCGAATAACATCCAAATGGACATCGATATATTGTACATTATAAAGCAGTTGAAACTTAAAAGTTATAAAAGGAGGTCATGTCTATACTAAAAAAAGAATGCTATTACTCAATTGATGATTTTTTTAGTTATCGTTTCTGAACATGGTGATTTTAAAACTAGTTTATGATACTTTATAAATATTAGATTTCTTAAATTTTACTTATCAATATTACTAAAGTGTATAATGTATTATTTGTCTGCTACTTTAAATTTAATATTGTATTTTATCTTATATTTTATCCTTTTAACTGTATTTTATTTATACTTATTTGACGTATTCTTTGCCTGTATGGATTTTTTGAATAAAAGTTATTCTATTATATTCTATTCTATCGACCCTTGCAACGAAGACTATATATAGACTATATAAGTTGCTCAAAAAAGTTCGTTTGTTATTCGTTATTTTTGTAGCATAGACTCACTCTTAACCTTCCAACTAAAACATTAGTAGCAATCAGATGAATATATTTCTTGCTCAGATAATGTTATTTCCCACAGTGAAATGTGTCAAAAATCTTTAAATTCTTATTTCTCAGTTTAACAGAAAATGAGTTATATAGTCTTCGTTGCATGGGTCGATATTTATAATATGCGGTAGTCGTTCGGCAGCCTATCGGCGCGCCGCGGCGTCCGACATCCTTGTGCTGTAGGTTTGCGGTTTTACAATTCGAGTTCAGTTTTCACTTACATTTAAATTAAGTTTAAAGTATTGTTATAACAATTGTAACTAAGCAACTGAACCTCGATTAAGTAAGACTAAATTGTACAACCCATTGTAAACATATTTAAAATTGCTCAAAAGGAATATCATCATTTGAAACTTTTTTCAAAAGGATTAAGAAAAAGTTTTTGGTGCTTGGTTCCTTTTCGACCAACGCTATCCAATTCTACAATGAAATGATAATAATAATAATTGTTTATTAATCCAACGGACAAAGGTCCATACAAAGGATATAAATAATTACAACCAAATAAATACAGTGTAAAAAAGTAGGATAATTTTAAGGTAATGCTCTTATTCTTCTAATATATTTATTTAAAGGTAAATTAAAAATATCACAATTCTCTTCAATCAGATTGTAACTCCAACACATTGAATTTATAGGAGAATTCTTTCGTTCATTGGTATTTGCAGCTTCTACATAAAAAGCTTGTTGAAACCTAGAATTTAGTCTTGGAATATTAATTACTTAATTACTTTTAGGAGAATATCGGGGTCAAAAATTAAAGCGTGGACTTTTACGTATCTCCAAACTTTCCATGTCAAAGAACATAAAAGCACCAACAAAAACGGAGTAATATCAATAGACTTCGTAATAAAAATATCTACAAAACTTTCTTTGAATTTTTTTAATATTATCAATATGAATGTCTTAAAATGGTGACCAAATGACGCAGGCATATTCAAATTTACTACGAATATAAGCATTATATAGGATTTTTTGTTAGCTTCTTATATTACAAGATTTATATGAGGAACGATGATAAAGATTTGTCAAAAGAAACGCCTTTAATTGTTTTAACATTTCCTATGGTTTCATTATTTATTTCATAATTAAAAAAATTATTGATTTTTTTAGAAAACCTCATAACGTAACATTTTTCAATGTTAAATATAATTGATTTCTGTCACACCAGTTATACAGATTACACTGTGCAACACCAAAAATCAAACCGCACCGGACTATTTTTTTTTAGAAAATATGCCTATCCAATAGCAAAACCCTCGCTGGGTTTGTAAAAGTTAGCTCTATTTATTTTTTTATGGCCGTTTGTATTTTCTAGCTTCATATACCCCAATTTAGACTTTAACTTTTTTCGCATATATTCGATTTATATCGTCAAGATTTTTTGTAGAAATGTAGTTACTGAACAAATAAACCTATTTTGTGAACAACCTATATCCCAAAACCCAATTTTAATATTTAAAATTTCTTGATACTTCTTCTGTCAAAGATGTTGTAAAGTATATTAAAAGAAATAATTTATAAAATACGCACACAAAACTGAACTTTAAGTTTACTTATTTGCTGGAAAACAATTTTTAAACAAGATTTTCCAAAATATTCATCTTTTCATACTCAACACCAAATTGTTTGCAGAAGTCTGTAGGAAAAAATTGAATAGATAAAATAGAATTGTAGAAAAGTACAGAGAGTTTGATTTTTTATTTTGTATTAATTTTATTATTAAAAAACTTTTTTTCATCAAAACATTAAGTAATCTGAGAATTCCATCCCTTCCACTTCTTCTCCTTTATTTTCTTGTTCTTCATTTTCATTTTTGGATTCATCACTGGAGAATTCCATCCCTTCATTTCATATATTTTTTATATTCATTTCATTTCAGGCGTTTTAAATGGTCCTGATATTCGGAAATTGCTAAAGTATAAAGACTTTGACAGGGCCTTGGTTGACAATGAGATAGTTGCGTGGGCGTCGATAAGAGAAATCATCGTTGGACTTTTAGGCAAACATCGTTCTCCCAATTATGAAGGATCTGTGCGACGAATGTTGGATGTATTTTTCCAAAATTGGAGTCAATATGTCGCTAAAAATTAATTTCCCTCATCGCCATTTGGCCTACTTCAGTCGACAGTTATCGACACAATCATCAAACTGCGATGCCATTTGAGTCCAAATAAAGAGGAAAACGAGCTGCAGCCTAGCCGAAACATTTTGGTGAAGTAAACATATTTTTTACTACGATCAGGAAGAAAATGAAAATGAAGAACAAGAAAATAAAGGAGAAGAAGTGGAAGGGATGAAATTCTCCAGTGATGAATCAAAAAATTAAAATGAAGAGCTAGGAAATAAAGAAGAAGAAGAAGTGGAAGGGATGGAATTCTTCAGCAATAAATCAGATTACTCAATGTTTTAATATAAAAAAGTTTTTTAATAATAAAATTAATCCAAAATAAAAAATCACTCTCTGTACTTTTCTACAATTCTGTTTTATCTATTTAATTTTTTCCTACAGATTTTTCGGCAAAATATTTGGTGTTAAGTGTGAAAAGATGAATATTTTGGAATATTTTGTTTAAACATTATTTTCCATCAAATAAGCAAACTTAAAGTTCAGTTTTGTGTGCGTATTTTATAAATTACTTCTTTTAGTATACTTTACAACATTTTTGCCAGAAGAAGTACCAAGAAATTTTAAATATTATCAAAAAATTAAAAAAATATATTTGGTCCCAAAAATTGGGTTTTTGGGATAAAGGTTGTTCACAAAATGGGTTTATTTGTGCAGTAACTACATTTCTACGAAAAATCTTGACGATATAAATCGAATATATGCGAAATAAATCGATTTATAGGTCTAAATTGGGGTATATGAAGGTCGAAAATACAAACGGCCATAAAAAAAATTCGGACTAACTTTTACAAACCCAGTGAGGGTTTTGCTATTGGATAGGTATATTTTCAGAAAAAAAATGGTCCGGTGCGGTTTGATTTCGATGACCCGAAAATTGTCGCACAGTGTTATTAAGGTCATTCTGAAGGCAGAGGCAGTCATTATGCGATGTAATAGCTCTAAATATTTTTAAATCATCAGCATATAGTAAATTTGATGAGTCAATGGTCTTTGGTATATCATTAACAAAGATCAGGAACAATAAAGGTCCAAGATTGCTCCACTCGTTGCACAATATACCTCCGATTTACAGTTCATGTATTCGACATATTGAAATCTTTGGTGCAAAAATGATTTAAATAAATTAATTATGTTTTCATCAAAACCGAGGTTATGTAGTTTATGCAAAAGAATATTATGCCGAATTTTATCAAAAGCTTTATTAAAATCGGTATATACTGTATCAACTTGCAATTTCTGATTTAAAGAGTATGATGTAAATTCAGTAAAATTGCATAGGTTTGTGACCGTGGAGCGACCTTTAACAAACCATGCTGAGATAAGCAAATTAGGGGAGAAATATGAAAATTAATGTATACTACTGAATAAATACTTTCAAATATCTTGGCAAAATTACATATGATATCTATAGCACTGTAATTTCTTATGCAACATTTGTCACCCGATTTAAAAATCGGTGATACTCTGGAAATTTTCCATTGTGAAGGAAACGTGTTATTTGCCAGGATTAAATTAAAAATATACTTTAAAGGTAAAGATAAAAAATTAACAGTTCTTAACAAAAAAGTTGGAACACAGTCAGGTCCTGAGGTGAAATTTGACGATATATTTTTTATCTACGCCAGTGAGATAAGAACTTCTTATCCCACTCATTTTGAGTGAGATAAGAAGTTCATTAACGCACGCGTTTTTCTCTGCTTTTAACCAATCAAATAAAAAAGTCAAAATGTCAAAATAACCCTAAATTAAGTCTTAGACAAAAATAATTACCGTTTATTTTTTCATTTAGAGGCGTAGATAAAAATTTGTACAATATACGTGTGATAACGCTTTCTTAACGTACTTTTGCGATTGCACTCATTGAGCAAATTTCGCATGCGTACGTTAATAAAGCTCTTATCCCACTTATAATCGTAAATAACTATTACCGCACTTAATATATCTAGCTCGCTTATTTCACGCAGATCAAAATTTTGTACGTTGTTCACAGGAGAATCATTGTTATAATTTGCTACCTGCGTTACAAACACTAAATATTGTGGAAAAGCGTTGACAATTTGGGGCGTTGCGCATAATCTCCTGTCTTTCGTCATTTCACCAGGAATTCTGCTAGAGTTCTTTTTATTATTGTCATAATCAAAGCATATTTTAATAGAAGGCTAGAAAAAGTTTTACTTACGAA